TTAAATTCTGTATCCTGGGCTTCATCTGGGTAATTCTTATGGGTGAACACTTCTATAGGACTGGTGGATTTTGGAGGGGAGATCCTGCCTTGACCTTTCATATTGTTTGTATACTTGCAGTGATACCTGGGCATGCAGACTTTTGTCAGTTCTGTATCTGATCTAGACCAAGTAAATGCTCAGAACACAGGTTGTACAGGTCGGGTCAGGACTAAAAATTGGATATAATGGAGTCAGGTGGACACAGTGAGCTGGCTGGTGTGTAGGGTGTGTGTCCTGTTCCTATCCTGAAATTTGGAGGTAGATCTAGGATTTGATGTGCGTGTGTGCAGAGGAGGATCTGTGGACTCACCTGGATAGACTCTGGAGAAGGGTGTACAGGATCTGGTTGGGTGAAGACCATGGATGTGGCCTGGGAGGGGCCTGTAGGTTGTAGGCAGTCAGGGAGGGTTCTGCAGGAAGCTTAGAGATGTGTGTTGTGCAGGCAGGGGTGGCCAGACTAGGCTGATGTACTGGATGTGAGGTCTGGGCTAGATCTGGGGTTTGAGGAAGGGTACATGAAGGGGAGGACCAGGCAGACTCACTTTGATAGAATCTTGGGAAGGATTGATCCTTGATTAAAAAAATAAATAACAAGAGTACCACTGGCCCAAGGTTGAACACACACACACACACACACACACACACACACACACACACACACACACACGTTCACTGATCTGAGTTCCTAGCAAAAGTAAGCTCCGTGTGTGTGTGTGTGTACCTTTTGGTTTGCTGCATTTATTTATGTACTTACTTTTATCTAGGGCTTGGCAAAAGTGATTCCATAACTTTCACATAGTTATTCAATCAATTAATGTCTTGATCCTGTGACCTTTATCAGGTCAGGCATTATGGACAAAAATGGACTTAACTGTCTGTAACGATGGAACCCATAGCCATTGCTAACAGGTTGATCTAACTCTAAGTAGAAAGCATTGAGTGAAAAACACTGAATTCATAGAGCCTAAAGGTGGAAGGGTTCTTGATTTCTGTGCTTCACTCTGGTTTTCTGGGGCTCTGGTGGTGTAGGAGCCATCTACGAGTGCTCATCTACTTTGCTCAGGCCATGGTGACCCCATGGTCTAGCGATGTGTGTGATATCCTGCAGAGTTGGAGGTATAATGGAATCCCATTTGTCAAAGCAAACTGCTGAATTTGATTCCTTAGAAGCTGGAAAGCGCTGCTATGCATATGTAAGAACCCTGTCTCTGTGGGGTAGGACATTAAGCCCAGAGGAAGATCTGCGTGCCTCATCTGAGTAATGAGCCATGAAATTGACATTATAAGTTTTAATTATTATTAATGCCTTGCAGGGTAGCTGGTGTTAATTATTCTGTAGGCTTCCCAGATATATTTCTTCCCTTTTCCTTTTATTTCCTTTTCTTAATGCCTTAATGGTGGCTTCCTGGTCGTGTTTGAACTCAATTCTTCCTAAGGGGCATGCCCTCCCTGTGAGAGAAGTTGTCTCTGGAAAGAAGGCAAATGACTGTGATTGGAACACAGGCAGCGGGAACCTGGGAGTTCGATGGGTTGCCACGGTGAGATTTGCAGGAGTCTCATCTCTGCTCCCTCCCCAGTAATACTCATCTTCCTCTAGGACCATCCATGAACTAATTAGTTAACCTTATAATGGGCTTTGAAGATCAAAGACTGTGGAAAGGGCCATAAGTCACGTTTTTGAGCATCTTTTAACAGGGAGTTCCGGTTTCTGGCTCTTATGCTCCTGGATAACTTCCTGTTAACATCATTTCTGACGTGTGTGTGTGTGTGTGTGTGTGTGTGTGTGTGTGTGTGTGTGTGTTATTCAGAACTGTGTCTATATTGCTTCTATAGACTTTGTTCTATTAGATACTCAAGAGAGTCAGAAGGGATGCCGAAGTGAGCTCTGACCTCCCCTGCCCCTACCTATCCCTACTCCTTTCTCCTTACCTACTAACTGCAGCAAAGACACAGGCCTGACTCAGAAATACCCCGAGTTCCTTTGAACTCACGGCAAAAAGATGGTCTCTACTGTTTCTCGGGCTTCTCTCAGGTCCTGGTTGTCAGGGTGAATACAGCACAGCCCTGTTAATGCAGCAGACAGGAAACTTCCAGGTCTAGGAGCCCAGTACCAGTGCTGTGGATCTAGAAGGGAGAAAGAGATGGTGTGGAGCTGTGTCAGCAGAGCCCACAGAATTCAGAAGTGTATCTCCTCCTCGGGAGTTGTCGTGTTACCCAGCATGGCTAGAAAAGTGTGCATTTGCTCCTGTGCCAAGGGGTTGGGATCCCTTGGCACAGTGAAAGCCACTGGAATTTGCAGGGTAGGTTCTGATTTACACCTGTGCCGCCAGCACACAGTATAGTACATTGAGAACAGAGGAGAGGTAGGTAGGGGGTTAGATGCAAGGTTACAGCAGTAGATTAGCAAGCTTTGAGGAGGAAGGCTGGGGTTCGGGGAAAGATGGGCACAGTTAGATGGAGTTTGCATGGTCAGGATGAGGAATACAGGAAGTAGGGATAAAGGGACAGAGAGAGTTTATGGGATGTCCAGAAGATATGCGTTCCAAACAAGTGGCTAGACTGTTTTGAAATCTACTGGTTGGCATGGACGTGGACGTACAGGTAGATTTAAGAGTGGGGGACACACAGAGGCAAGTAGAACTGGGCCTGTAACATTGGTGATGAGTAGCCTATGGCCCACATATGTGTGGGACTGGCAGCCATGTAGAGAATCAACAAAAACCAGAGTCCCCTGAGGCTCAGGATTGATGCCTTTCAGGACCAGGAAGTGAGTAACTTGTGGGTCTCTGGCCTGGGTGGTATTCTGTAGTCCAGGCCCTAAAGCCAAGCTGGCTCCTAGGAATTTCCTCTTTCCCTGGCACTACATTCCTACCCTCCCAGCTACACTGGGTGATGCAGTGCCATGGTTGTCCATAATGGATGAGAATGGTACTTGAAATGGCCCCTGTGTCAGCCTGGCTGGAGAAAGCCAAGGGCAGCTGGGGGAAGGCTCCATGTTCATTGGAATGAGATCTTTGAAGGAGAGGGCAATGGCGTAGGTTTGGCATGGTCTATACTGTGATCAATGGTAGCAGAAGCTTCCAAACAGCTACCAAAGCCCTTCTCTAAGATTACTGCTTCGAGCACACACACTGTCAATGAGAAGATGAGTCTAGGAAAGAGAGGGCACACAATGCCAGCCTATGTCAAGGGAAGTTCCTGTGGGTACCTAGTGGAGGTGCTTTTCTGAACAAAAGAACATGTTTTCTTACCGCCACTCAAAACCCCTTTTCTGAGGAAAATTCTAAGTGTTACCATATAGTCAATAGTGAAAATATTCCTGCCAGGAAATTCCTGTCATTATTTGACTTTTAATGGGGCGGTAAGCGGAGTTGAAGAAGGAGAAACGGCATCTTTTTGTAAATTAGCTAGCAGAGCGGGGATGGGTTTCCCGATCTATTGATATCCTGAGCTTGGTAAATTCTTGGTTATTGGGGAATGAACGTGCTGTGAACTGAGGGGTACTTGGCAGCAACCCTGGCCCTGCTCGTTACATGCCACCAGCACCTCTCTTTGTTGTGACAACCCCCAAAGTATCTTGAGAAAAATTGTTCCCAATGGAAAAGCCATGGGCCAGGGACTGGCTGGCCATTATATGGCCCTGGGGTTTTTCTGATGGCCCACAGCCAGCCACCTCTTTAGTCTTTTCTAAGCAAAGTATTGGATTGCAAATTCCCTTTCGCCTGTGCTCTCTAAAGTCTGGGCCGAGTACAGTCTTTTGTGCTTAGACCGCAAAGCTATCCAGAATGAGTTCTGTAATGAAAAGTTCTCTCGTGTTACTATTTAATTGGCTAGTGGGGGTTGTTTGTCAATCTGCCAGCAGGTTTCTCTTAAATGCTGTCATCAGACATCTCTGAGACATAAATGTGGAATGATTGATTTGCAATGTGCTATTAAACCCTCTACAAAGACTTTTTGATGTACTGCGGCTTTGAGCTTTGTATAGCTATTGATTGATTTAAATACTACAGAACCCTTGGCTCAGGCAGCCCTTGTGAGAAAAATGCCACTTCTCGTAGGGAATTGCTGGACATTGACTCGGGCACAATGACAAGGCTTTCCTTGGGCACAAAATGGATTATTGAACAAGTGTGGACCACCAGGAAAGAAAAGCAAGAGACACTTATGCAGCTGGCCAGAATTTACCAATCAGGGCCAGTTAGAGAAGTACAGGGCATGGACAGTAACATCTGATCAATGTAGGATTGGGAGAGTCCTTGCTGCCATGAGAAGGGAGCCAAAAATTTTGTTTGGGCTTTAACTGTGGTCATTGTTTGAGACCACAATAGCAAATGACATTCAGATAAGTTGATAAACTTTGACAGAATGACAAAACACCTCCTGATTGTACAAGACCAGGGTTAGATATTCTTGGAAGTGTCCTTCCCTCTGGAGCAGATGGTTGTGTGAAGTGAAAGCTTGTGTGGCTTGGGGAAAGGGGGGGTGTGTGACCTGGGATTAGAGGCAGAGTAGCCTCTGAATTCCTCTGCCGGACATCTCTCACCTGGGCTGGGCGAGTATGTACCACTGGTCCACAGAGAAGGAGACACATACAATGGGTGAGATATTGGCTGCCCCCTCCTGTGCCTGTATCCTCCTTATCTCCAACAGATAATAACTCATCACCTCCTTTGGAGCCTTTTCAGTGCAGTGAAGTGGTCTCTGTAGAAAGCTGGGCTGCACTGGGCCCTTATGTATAGGATTGAGAAGTTTGCTCTTGTAGAGACTATCTTGCTAAGGTCAGAGAACGTACGTGTTCCTATGTTAGACTGTTTGTTCCTTTAGAATGTTTTCTGGTCTCAGAATGTTGTTTACACTTAAGACACACAATGACTATTGAACTCATGCTTCCACAGACAAATTTCTCAGGTTATTAGGGAGGGTCATTCCAAGTAACCACCTGCTACTTTCTGTTTCAGAATCTATCCCAGCTTCCCTATGGCAAGGCCCTCTACAGCTATGAGGGAAAAGAACCTGGTGACCTCAAGTTCAACAAAGGGGACATCATCATCCTGCGGCGCAAGGTGGATGAGAACTGGTACCATGGGGAGCTGCAGGGCACTCATGGCTTCCTCCCGGCCAGCTACATCCAGTGTGTCAGGCCCTTGCCACAGGCTCTGCCCCAAGGCAAAGCACTTTATGATTTTGAGATGAAGGACAGAGACCAAGACAAAGACTGTCTGACCTTCACTAAGGTAAGGTGAGCCCCGTGGTCGGCCTCTATGTCTACTCATGTCTTCTTAACCAAGAGGCTACATCTAGGCTTCTCTGCTAGGCCATGAGCAAATGACCACCCTCCCTGTGCCTGTGAAGAAGGGGGAGTGTGTCTTGCTTCGTGAATTTGATTGTTTTGTTATTGATTTTGTTTGTGTGAATGAGAACTCCTCAGAGGCTGTGTCTGCAGAGGGTGACTGGCTGATTAGAAGTTCAGGACCGTGGAGAGATTGGAATGTTGCAGGTCCAGAGACTAACTACCCTGTCTTAGGCTAGCATTATCCACCAACAGCCGTTCTTAGACTACCTCAGTGTCAGAACTAACATCGTCTGACTGGCAAATGAAAACCTTTTTGAACCTACTAATTTAACAAACTACTGGCTTCCACCACCCCAAAAGCTAAGCATGCCATCAGAGAACATCTTAGGCCTATAGACAAGCTTCTCCCAACTTGCTGTATTGTAGCATGAATTCTAATTGATATATAATAGAATAATTATATTTTAATAATAGAAGCCTGGAGTCAGACATAGGGGTAAATGCTGAAAGACCAGAGAAGTAAAGCAGCCAGAGTCACCTCTTACCTCTACGACTCCTCATCCTGAAAAGGGGGGCTCCTGTCTCCTTCTGCCTTATATTACTGTCTCCACCTCCCTGGTGTTGGGATTAAAGGCTTGTGCCACCACTGCCTGGCCTCTATGGTTAACTAGTGGCTAGCTCCTCACTCTGATCTCCAGGCAAGCTTTATTTGTCAGAACACAAACAAAATATCACCACACGGTATTTTAAACTTGACTGGATTATTGACTTTCCTTGTTCTGTAAAAACTATTCAACTTCATGAAATGACTTCCATGATGGAACATGGCTTTGGGGGTAACCTAAATGTGGTTTCCCAGGTCCTGGTCATTCAAAATGGCTCCAGAATAATCCATCTCTTACTCTCTTCAAGGTGAGAGCTGTGGTTTTTGCACTGACATTCGTTTTGTTTTGACTTTCATCTTTGATTGTGGAATGGTAAGAGATGACGTGGCTCACTGGTGCATGGCTCCAGCCAGCACTGGTGCTGACTCTTGAGATTGGTGAGCTGTCAGCATCAGTAGTAATTTTACCGTTTTCAATAGTGAGTATATGCAAGGGAGCTGAGTGTTCCCAGGACTCAAGGGATCATGGTAGAACTACGGTAGAGCCACAATTCATCCCTCAAAGCCAACATCACACCCCTCCTGCAGGGCAACAGTGGAATCAACTAGGCATGAAGAATCTCTATTTATTATTATTATTATTATTATTATTAATTTTATGGGTATAATGTATTGCCTGCGTGTATGTCTGTGCACCATGTGCATGCATGATGCCCGCAGAGGCCAGAAAGAGGGTATTGGATCTCATGGATTTGGAGTTATAGTTATGAGTTGCCATATGGGTGCTGGGAGTTGAACTCAGGTCCTCTGGAAGAGCAGTGGGTGCCGTTAACCACTGAGTCATCTCTCCAGCCTGGCATGGAGTATCCTTTGAAGTACCTAGCCCGAGGACTTGGTCACTAACCAAACAGCATTTCCTGTGGAGCCAGTGAAATGATGAGTCAGGTTTGTGGTCTTGCTGGAGTTCCTGCCTTTATTCATGACTGCCAGGACCGAGCAGCACTTGTACTCATCACAACATTTTGAGTTGCCAGGGAAGCAGGTGGAGCCTTGTGGTATTTACTCTGGGATCCTCTCTCCTCCCTCCTTCCTCCTTCTTTTCCTTCTCCTGCCCCCTCGCTCCAAGGCTGTAAACGACAGAACTGGATTCAGTATCTGGCTTGAAGAAACAGCTCCTGGAGATTATAGTCACTCTTCCCCACCCGCCGCCTCCTCCTCTGCAGGTACAGAGCTTGGCTGTAACATTGCAGCTCGCCAGCTCCAGCGGGCTTCAAGAACACCTCACACTCCGGTTTAAGTTGATGGTTCCTGTGCCAGACTGCTGTGTCTGTCTTCTTCTATTGTACACCCTGACAGTGACTAATCTGTTTTCCGTTCTGGGAACCAGCCCTTTCTCTCTTCCTTTCATCGAGGCGTTGAGATGCTAATTCCCACTGCCATCTATCTCACTTAGCTCCCGGGGGAAGCCCGCCCTGGTCTTCTTCACTGTCTCCCTCTCTTTTCCTTTTCTCCGTCTGAAGCCTCTGGTGCCTTCCCAGGATGCCTTGCAGGCTTCTCTGCTCTGGAGAGCCTGCCCCGAGCGACTGTACTCCATCCTGTGTGTGCTGGTGCTCTGCTCTGGCCATTGCAACTTCTTAGTGTCCTCTTGCATCCTTGCTAAGAAAACAGGCTCCAAATGAGTGTTAGCTCTCTTGGCTCCAGCGACTGAATCAATGGAGTCAGACTCTCCTTGCGGGCACACAGGGGCACTCGGCCAGACAGCTCACCAAGTAGACTGTAAAGCCCTGGGGTGTTTCCTGACAGGCCAGCTTCTCCCTGTAGGATCCTGGACTTCCTTGCCTTCCATTTCCATTCTAGATGCTTCTGCCTGTAGTACTCACTGTCGGTAAAGACCAGAGCCCCCTGGACAAGAGGACAAATGGATATTTGTCTATTTATTTATTAATTACACACACACACACACACACACACACACACACACACACACACACACACAAATATTCAGGGCCTGACCCATGCTAGGCACTGTACTGTGTTCAGAGACAGAGGCCCGGCCCTTCCTGGAACCTGGACTTGGGAGACAGGTCCAGAAGTCTAGAGAAATGAGTGTAACAAAAGACTGCCTCAAGGGAAGCTGCATGGTATCGCCATATGCAGGAGGAAGATGAGACAAGGCGTGAAGACTCCAGTGTAGAGGGTGATAGACCCGAATATTCCGTGTTTCCGAAGAAACTGTGCATTAGTCTTCGAGGGGCAAATGAGAGCGGAGCTTGTTTTGGATTTGTTCTGTGGCTGGCATGTTTAGGATGCGTTGTTGGCCTCAGTACGTCCCTGATGTAGGTTTGGTATTTTGAGGCTCCCTAGAAGGAGACTTGGACCAGCTGTGACAGGGTCCAGGGCTCTCCTGTCACCAAGGGTGGCTGTTTCTATGGCATCCAGATGGATTTATCATATCACACCATCTTTGCACAAGGACTTTCTTTCTTGAATCCCTGTGGGTTCCTATAAAGAATGGGAGACCTCTGAGTATAACTCCCAAAGCACTGAGACACCTACCATATATCCATGTCAGCTTGTCCCTAGCCCATCTATGCCCCCCCCATCCTCCAAAGAGCAAAGTTGCCCCATTTTGGTATGCACTTCTTGCCCTCTCTACACCTCGGTCCCAGAGGATGTGGGCATCTTCTTGGAGCGCCCCACTTGGTTCCATGCTTCCTGGCAGAACTTGGATAGTGTCTGCAGGTGCCACTGAGATACAGCCCCATGCAGTAGGGACCAACAGTCAGATCTAAGGCTGAGCTTCTGGGAACCAGCAAGTTAGTGTTATTCTAACACCATCCATCCAGGTAGTTGACAGGCCCCTATCTGCACACGGTCCCTCCCTGTAAGCCCAGCCTTTCTGTGGACTAAGGAGACACAGAGAAGAACCCCATAAAGCCTCAGACCTGCTGGAAGGTTCGGCATTACTTGTCTTCAGTCTTTGTATTTGCACTTGCTGGTTTTGGAGGGAATGAAGCTATTGGGAACTGATCAATACGGCTTCTAAAGTCATGTTACAAAAGGTTATCATTCTCTTCTTAAAACAGATTGGTTTTACAATGACTTGATGCTGTTTTAATGCTACCTATTCAAACGATAACGCTGCAGGTAAAAATGAGGTTTTGATCCAACCGCTTTGTGACTTCTCAAATGCCATCCCAATGGAGAGTTTTAAAAGGAAGTGTCACAGTTTGGGTGTTAAATGCCCTTCACAGTCTTGTGTTTGAATCCTTGGTCCCAAGTGGTGATGCCATCTTGGGGAGGTGTCGGGCATTTATCACGTTGGGCCCAGATGGAGGAAGTAGATCGTTGGGAAGAAGGCCTTTGATAGGAGAAACCACTTCTGGTTTCTCTCTGCTCCTGTGTCTACCTCACATCCCACTGTCACACTTTCCTTGCCATGGTGGCTGTGCCTTCAAACAGTGAGCCAAAATAGATCTTCGTCAAGTTGCTTCTTGTTAAGTGTTTGGTCACAGTAACTAATATAGGAAGTCATTAGCAGCCCTGGTTTTTATAGGTCTGTCTGGCCTTGCAAATGCCAGAATGGAACACATCTAAATGACATCATGGTCTGTGGTGGCAAACCCAGGTGACATGAGCCAGGGACACTGGGACATAAGCATCATTAAGTTAACTGAGGTGCGAGGTGGCAGGAGGCTGTTGGGACATGGCCGTGTGTATCTCAGTGGGGCTCCGGGAATTGCCCAAGTCTTGCCAGGGATGTAGATGTGGAGAGTGAGAAGTGAGAGGTGCATACAGAACAGGACAGCTTTGCTCTTTGGAGGACAGGGGTGAGGCACAGATGGGCTACTAAACAGGTAGCGTAGATACGATGGTATACAATAGGTGTCGCTGTGCTTCGGGAGTCAGATCCAGAGGTCTCTCACTCTCTATAAGAACCCATGGGATTCAAGAAAAGAAAGTCCTTGGGCAATGATGCTGTAGTATCTTAAGTCAGAGACACTGAGACAAGTACCATCAGTCTGCTGAGGTGTGCAGCAGCAGTCAAGTAAAGAGGTGAGCTTTGGGCCTAAGAGGAAGTGGCGAGTTTCATTACAGTTTCAACAGCTTGCTATCATTCCCTTTTTTTTCATTTTTATTTATTTATTTATTTTTCTATTATCAGCTTGATACAGTATAAATTCTTATCCTAATAGTGAAATGTTTCCCTGAGGCTTGCCCAGTAATTGAGTAAAACCAAAACTTATTATAAGCCACAGTCATCCTAGGGTCCCCCCTGCTATATAGCCTCCCTGGTTCTGTGGGTTGCAGTCTGATTGTTCTTTGCTTTATATCTA